TGGATATTAAGATATCTATAGGGTACCATAGACAGATGCCTATGTTTCAAAAGGGGCGAATTGAAGCTACATGGCTATGTAGATTCAGACTTTACTGGCGAGGTGGACTACAGAAGAAGTACTACCGGGTATGCATTCATGGTGGGTACATGTAACACCCCCAACATTTTCCACGCATAAGTTGATCAGGCTTATACACGAAAAACGAGGGATATCAAAAACAATTGGCAATATACAAGCATAGAATACAAAATGATGATAAATAAAGAATTTAGACAGGAAAGGAACACTAAACAATACAACATCCATCCATCCTTTATTTAATACAGTACTCCATTACAACTTGGAAATCCTATGTCAATGATCCCTAAATATAAACCTGAGAGTTCAACGTTAAAAGTAAATAAAAACTGAAACTGAAGTAATACATAAAACTTCTACCCTGAACTGGATCGTAAGAGTAGATGAGTTCGGATGGTGGTCCCTCACTGCTAACCTCAACCTTGGAACGGGTACTGACCGTATCCTGAAATAACAACAATGGTGGGTCAACCCCACGAGCAAGTCCTCTCTACTATGACCCAAATCAGAGAATCAAATAAATCAATCATTATGAATCGGACGAGTACTATATTTGCATACATCCTAAGGGAACTATCCAATGTATAACATGACCTCAACCAGAATAGACGGTGATCACTTAGACTCACACTAGGTGGTTAAGTGTCGCCTTTCCCTACCCGGGAAATCAGCTATTATACATGGTGCACGATACTGACAACACAGACTATAACGAACTACACAGTGATAACACCTCTCAATGTACTGATGAATATACTGAGCATATTAATTAGGCAACACATGCCAACAATATTAATAAATATACCGAGTATGTCAATTAGGCAACACATGCCAATAATATTAAACCACATACCCCGACAGCCACACATCTGTCTATCGCAACGAATGCATAAGGTATAAATGAGTCTAAACTTATTAGCCAGCTCACATGGTTCTATATGGCAACACATCCATATAATATAAATGCGACATAATTTAAACAGTCCATTTATTCTCTGAAATGCACACAGCATAATAATCATGGTTGATATATGATTAACAGTATAACTATCCCATAATATCTAATGGATAATTTATATGACGATAATCGTGACATTATTAACAGTACTAATGAATACCATTTAACAAAATAATAACACCACCTATAGTAATGTTGTTTAAATGAATCACATTCATATCCGTACGGTAAACGGGCCAATTAAGGTTTAGAAATATTAATCGGCCATAATAATACTTAACGGGTATTGAAATAATAATTTCGTGGCCCGTTAAACCCGTAAATACCAACATAGTACCTAAAAATCCAAGTTTAAGGTTTTGGAATTTACAAAACAGGCCCTAGGGGTATTCTGGTAATTTTCAGCAGCTGACAGGGCCCCTCACGCGCCCCCACGCGCCGCCCTAAGCTTCCCCACGCGCAGCCCAACCTTCCCCACTCTCCCACGCGCTTGCACGCGCTTCCACGCGCGTCTGGAGAGTTCCACGCGCGCACACGCGCTCCCACGCGCGCGTTGATGGCTTCTTGCTGACGCGGCGTCCTCCGGTTGGTTGGTTGCATCATCTTTCCTAGATGCGCGCCACACCGGATCAATCCACCTATGCTCCTTTCATCCTGCGGCTGATGATTAGCGTGCACCATCATATGGTGTCCCGCGCTGCACCGAATCAATCTAAGGATTCACAACCCATCTAACGGCTGCTGATCCATACGCATGCTTGTTACAATACACCGCAACACACCAGATAACTCCAGCCACCTTCCTCACTGCCGGTGGCCGGAAAACTCACCGGAGTCTCGCCGGAAATTGCAGAAAAGCCCCGGAAAAATCTAAAAAATTCTAGAAAAATCCCTAAAACCTTATTTAATTATTTTCAGCCATTATTAATTTCATAGGATATTAAATAAATATATACCATCCTATATAATTAAAATTTCATTAATTTAATAAACTAAAATTAATAATTTATTAACCTCATAACCTGGTCTCTATGCATGAAAATAAACTAAACAATTAATTTATTAATTCAAAGGGGACAAGTAGATAATAACTTGCCTTTAGTATTTAAAATAAATCCGCCGGTTGCACGTAGTCGGGTAAAATTGCCTACACCGGTACAGGCTCCCTTCTTTCTCTCTCTTCCTTTCACTCTTCAACAATCGCTCATTGTAATTCTTTCTTTTCTACTTAGGTGAGTTGCCTTAAGGGTAAGTTGGCTAACTAATATATATATACTAACTTATATAATATATATAATACAAATATCTAAATTTACATTTAATTCTCACCCATTCCTCACATTCCTACCTATAAGGCTTTAAGGCAATGCAAATTTTAGTCAAGTTATTTGATCTACCATTCTACCATAGTAAATGAAATTCTGTCCTAATAATAACTTTACATCATGACATTGTTTATTATTATTATTATTATTATTATTATACAATACAAATGAAATACTTTAATTAACTAATATTAATTAATCTAAAACATCACCAATAAAATTTCTAAACTAATCATTATAATATATAGAATATAAAATCAATATTACATGCACAAATAAATAAAATTAATTAAATAACTTAACATATATAATTAAAAGGTGAATAAATCTACACATTAAAGAATTAATCTAACACAAAATTAATTTAAATAAACTCTTTAAAATTACAGGGTATTACAGTACAACTGCAGTTAGTTGGGTTTCGCAAATACAGAGGATTGTAGCGTTATTTACTATAGAGGCAGAGTATGTGGCGATGACAGAGGCTAGTAAAGAGATGATTTGGTTACAAGGTTTGTTGACAGAGTTGGGATTCGAAGCCAGAGTGCGATACATCTAGCAAAGAATTCAGCATTTCATTCAAGAACCAAGTATCGGTATCACTTTATCAGATCTTTGTTAGAAGATGGGGTGTTGACACTTGAGAAAATACTTGGCACCAAGAATCCGGCTGACATGTTGACCAAGACAGTGACCATGGAGAAACTAAAGTTGTGCGCAACTTCAGTCGGTCTTCTAACTTGAAGATAGAGAGAAGTGCACCGACATGCATAGGACATGCATGAGAAGAAGATGGAATGGGTTTACAAGTGCTCCAGCCTCCAAGTGGGAGATTGTTGTGGTTTTGTGGAGTCTGATTAGGTAATTATTTTTTAGGAAGATTTAATTATATGGAAACTTCAAGAGTACTGAATTTTAGGGAAAAATTCAGTTTCCTAATCTGTTTTAACTTCCTTATTGGTTTAAGGAAAATTCAGTTTCCTAATATGATTTAACTTCCTTATTAGTTTTGGATTTTATAAAAGACAAATTCTTGTAGGACAAATTTGGGGATTCTATAAATAGGGTGAGAAAGTTAGAGAAAAATTTGTACCAATACAAGAGAAAGCAATTGAGAGAGATAGAGAGAGAATTCTCCTTATAATTCTTTATCTTTTTTATAGTGAATTTGTTCGGTGTGCTCCATGGACGTAACCCTAAGATTTGGGTGAACCATGTATATCTTGTGTTCTTGTGTGTGATTTTTTTATTTTTTTTCTTTGTGATTGCCTGATTATTCCTCGAACAGCGCGTTGTGTTTCCGCCATAACAACTGGAATCAAGTTCGGTTGATTGTGCAGTGCAACTCTGACACTTTCATCCTGCTATGAGGGAAAATAAGGATTTAGTCACATTCAGAGCGACTGTTTCACCTCTTTATACTTGTATATTATGACCACGGCCTCATTATCTATGGTGCTAATTAATTTTGCTTTCTATGCTCATCAAATTCCTTTTGCTCTAGTAAGTCGCCTTTTTCACCTTCTTCCTATGGGGCTAAGTATTTGCCAGCCTCACTCCAAAGCCCAAATTCATCACCCCTTCTTCTGCGTAGAATTGATTGAAGTTCTTGTATGCGTTCCTCTGGCTGCAACAAAGCATCCTTGGCTAAGCCACACGAACGTATCCAACATAACCAAATTATTGACATAATGATACAAATCTGTGGCCTATTGACGAAGATGATGAGAAAGAGTTGGCTTCAGAAGCTCTTAAACAACACAAATGCTCGTAAAATTGATGAATGAGAGGCTACGATCTAGAGGACAAGCTGGCAGACCGAGCATGTATGATGATAGGTTTTGGTATCTGTAGGATAGGCAGCCATTTTCTGTTGCAAAAGAAAATAAGGCCTAGCAATTTTCTGACCTTCCTTCACATTTGCTCCTTAGTTATCATGAGGTACAATAGGAATCGATACCTCTTCAACTCTCAACAGTGTGATCTTCATTTTAATCCAAACATTATAACAACAATGTTTATGCAGTACTGTCTCTTGCACACCAAGTCTCCAACTCACCATCTGATTTATCTCACAATTTAAATATAAGTTGATGTGTTTAAGCATTCATACAAAACTGCGGCCAATGACTTTTATCTGGTTGGGGCCTTCCAAAACTGTATGAGACAAGGCCAGCATCATTAGTGTGAACATGTATTATATTTCAAACTATTTTTGGTATGTAAATTTAGAATTACACATTAATTGCAAGCCTACAATAGGGTGGTCTTAGTTCTCCTACTCTTTTATAGAAAATTGATAGAATTGACCACATTTCACTCTCACACTGTAAAAAAATAAAGAAATTTAAATTAAAAAAATAAATTTGTGAAGCACATTCATGATTTTCTAGACAGATTAATAAACTATGGAACTTTCACCTCAAATCTTTATTCTGAAGGGAATAAAATTGAAATTTGTTGTATGCTAGCTGTATTGTTCTCTAACCTTGATTTTATATTTTATATTTTTATTTTTTAAACATTTTCAACAAAACTAAACAAACATATGCAGAGGTAAGATCAATGGGGCCTTAAACCCTTGGAATTAAATTGACACATAGAGTAATCACATATATTACAAATAAAAGCAGAAAGAAAGATAATGATGACCTCCCTTGATAGAACAACTGGAACTGTCAACTAAACTTAGATTAGTGAAAAGCTTTGAAGCTTTTGGGGAAAAAAAAAAATTCAAAAAAAGGGTTGCCCTTAAACTTGCAAGACAGTTCAAAGGTTCTTCTCACTGCCCAAAAAAGATCACAAGTATGTCCACGAAGTAAAATGTGAGCAAATCTATCTACAACCACTAATGGGGTTTTTTTTTTTTGTTTGAATAAAAAGGAACCGTTTTAACCAAACGTTCATTTTTACAGCTTCTAATTTTTTTTTTTTTTTTTTAAATAGAAAATATAATTATATATAAAAATTAGAAATTCATTATGTTGGCATATGGGATGAAATTGTTGTCAAGCCATGGGCTCCTTAGCTGTGTCCAAAAGGGGTCTTGGGTCCAATCCATGGTGGGTTTGGGCAGTAGGAGGTCTGGCAGCTTCTCTATCTCTGATGGTAAGTGCAGACTATTTGAGAAACACCCTTTTTTGGCCTCCTCCACTGAATCTTCTTCATTCATCCTCACTTTCTCATCATCATCAACTATTCTAATAAGCTCTTCTTCATCACCTTCTTTCTTGAAAACCGCATGATGATGATGATGATGTTGTTGTTGTTGTGTGATTAGTGAATCCTCATGTTGTTGGCTACAAAATGAGAGTGTTGTGTCTATTGTTGATGTAGTTGGAGATGAAGGTTGTTGAAGTGCATGAATTGCTGCCTTCATCTCTTCTTCCATTGCAGCCCTCTGCTCCAACACTTTCAATGAGGTTGCCTTCCTATATATCTTGCATAATACTATGTCCTGCATCACCATAATTCTTTTATAAGACTCACATTTATACTGTAATTTCCCATAATTTAATAAACAAATACAAATTAAAAAAACATATATTTATTGTGTTTATATATTCTTGTATATGATATCTGGCTTTTTAAAAGTCTTCATAATTTATCACCGAACATAAATATATCTTCTTCTCATATATATCGATCAATTGTCGAATGAGAGGAAAAAAAAAAAAATTTTGATTTAACATTGAGTCCCACTCCACTGACTTCATTTGAAAGCCAAAGTGTAACATTATGTGTGAATACTTGACAATTAACATCTCTTTTGTAAAACGATTAGGTTTGAACTGGAGGCTCTTGCCTTTGTCTTTTTCCTCCATTTTGAAAGATACTAATATTTAGTGGCACTCAGACCCTTAAAAGACTTCGGAGAAAAAACATAGTAGTAGAATATAGAATTAAGAAGTGGACTTACAAATGATATGCATAAGATATTATATATATATATATATATTACCGTCAATAATTAGAAAATTCATTTGGAAGTCCCAATCACTTGGTATTAAAGCCAATTTGTAGATTGGGTGTAAAAAATTTGATAACTAGCCTTTCATTAGAAACTAAATACAAAAGATCAAGGGTGTGAACTTACTGGATAAGTCAAAGCCTTTTATTTATTATAAAGATTCTCCGTAGTGTCTTTAGACCCTTAAAATATCTTTTATTAATATAATAAAAAATAAAACTTGAACATAAAAATATTTATTACATTATATAAACAGCTACAAGAAAAACATTACCATCAAGAGGTCTTTTTATATGGTATTGCCTTGATAGTATTATTTAGTTAACTCACCAATATATATATATATATAGTTCCCTTAAATTTTATTATAGAAATTATTGACAACAACTGAAAATTGAAATCTTGAACCCACATTAGAAATCCAACTTAAATTTGTTGACATCAATGAGAACTGAATTCTTAATGTCATATATTAGCATTTTACCCCACAATTAAATTTACACACACTGAAATTTATACACATATATATACACGCACTCATACATATATATGTATTACCTTTGGTGGTGTACATGCATCAGGTAGTCTATACTCGTTCATGACCCAATCAGTTTTGGATCCACGAGGTGCTCTGCCTTTGTAGAAGACCAGAGTCTTTTTCAGTCCCAAGACTCGCTTTGGATCCGATAAGCTCACTATCTTACGATCCGAACCCGTTGCCTTCCAAAACCCATGTTCAGTTGTCCTATTAGGCCTCCCTCCATTCCCATGTTTTCTGTCTCTTGGCACAAAAAAGTACCATTCTCTCTCACCAATCTTAGCCAACCCTGCAAGCATTAATGAACATTAATGTGGTGTTCGGAAATTCGGAATCATAGTATTAAAATCGAAAGAAATTTATTTTTGTACCAATTTTTTCAAAAAACCAATCAAGACGTTAATTGAGTACTTCCAAACATAATTTAAGTAAAAAAAGTAATACATACCGGGCAATTCCCAAGGTTCGTGATGATATATGTTGAGAAGACCAATTATATCAAATCGGAGTTTTTTCCCAAAAATAATGTTTTTAAGGTAGAAGTTGAGGAGCTCTTCTTCGGTAGGATGAAACCGGAATCCGGGCAATTCGAGCTCCAGTGTCATCTCATCCATGGGGGTGGTTCTCCTGGTGGCTAGTTGCAGATAATGATTAATGGCTACTGAATTTGCCTTTGGTAGTGTGTTTGTTTAGAGAGAAAATTGTTAGGAAAGAAATGTTCTGTTTTTACATGCACAATATGTCTCCAAGATTTTATAGGACATTACATATGTGGGTGCACTAGAGTCTAGTCTTCGATAGAGAGAGAAATTGTGGGTCCACACGGTTATAAACTGACTCTGCACCAATTGGTCTCATGACTTTACTATAGATGAAAGCCACATCAATTGCTTGACTCATTTAGTTTCTTTGCCTTTTGGACTATACCTGAAATTTCCAACCAAATGGGTGCGTATGTGTGTTTTTCAAAGTAAAATTTCTACCACAAAAACATTTTTCAAAATCTTAAACATGTAATAGTCTCAATTTCCATAAGTTTTGAACGAGTCAATGTTTACCAGGTCTCTGATTTATTTTTCTTTGGTAGTGGCAATTATAGTTTCTAGGTTAAATTCAGTGCTACACCATTGTTTCAATTATTCAAATTAGACAAGTTTAGGTGTTCGAGACCATTTGATTGGTGGACCCCAATTAGGTTTTAGACAATTCTATCATGTTGTTGGCCACACAAGACTTTTCTCCTCTCTTTTTTTTGAGGTTGTAATATTGGACCTTGAAAAAAAAAAAAAATTACCTCTTTGCACTACAATCATTTTCTTCTCTTGTTTTAATTTTAATTATTTTTTTGGGTGAGATTGCAGCGAGTAATCGACATTGATCTTATTACGTGTATCGAGATAGTGTGAAAATTTTTCTAATAAATTAAGAAAAAAAAAAAAAATTTGTTTTAGTGACTTTCACCGAATGAGACTAGATTCACGTTTACTGGTTATACTCGTTTAAAATTTAAAATATTTGTAATTTTATAAGTTATTATTATTTATTTAAAATTGGAGGAACATCATTTTCTCAAAATTCTTATAGTTTGGTAAAAGAGTGACATGCCCAAAAAGACAAACATAAAAGAAAAATAGTAAATTAGGAAAAAGCAAAGATTATAAAATAATAATAATCATAATACTAATTCAAAAGCATTTCCGCGTTGTTTCCATCACTTTTCACATCAAAGCCCAAAGAAGTCTAATCAATGGCTTTGATGGAGGAAATTGACTTGGAAGTCTTCACAGAAGACCTCGAACAAAAAGCTAAGAAAGTCTCTTATAAACTTAGTAGATGGATGATCACACATTTCATTACCATTCATTCACTCAAGTTTTTTTCCAACTACTTGTATTGTGTTTGCCTCCTTCTTACAAATTTTTAGTACTATATTTGAATTGTATGTATATTTTTGTGTTGGTTTATGAAATGGACTGCCCCAAGTACCTTTCTTCGCAATTTCCTCGAATCTTCTCTATGTTGGCCTCACACACCAAACTTCTCGTCAAGTTGTTTCTTGGTGCGTGCCTTAAACAACTTTAATAAATGGTACAAATAAGATATATTATATAAGATATATTGTTCTATATATTACAAGGTATACCACAAACAATATGTACTATTTTGTTGCTGCACTTATTGTACCTAGGATAATTTGTGACAAAGCACATGTGAGTCACCCAATAAGTAACTTATTGATGTAGGATAGTTTTATTATTATTTTTTTATATATTTTTTAGGAAGAATTTTGTTTTAGATAGTTTCTTTATATTTCTAGTTACTTAAACCAATTAGTTTCTTTTTAATATTAGTTTCCTTTAGAATCTTAGAATTTTATTTATTATAAATACAATATACTGCCATAGTTGAATAATCAATCAATCAATTTTATCAATAAAATATTATATTTCTCTGTAAATTTTCTTTTCCTTATAGATTCAAGATACATTATCTTGTGAATTCAAGACCCGTTCATATTGCTTCCCTTGCGTCACTTATAGTAAATGCATTTATGTTTCAATGAACTTAATTTAAGTTTATTCATTATATTAAATGTATCTATGTTTTAATGATCCTAACTAATGAACCATTTAGTAAGATGAAGTGACCTTGTAGATCTGGCTAGCATTACCTTTGTTTTATTTATTTTTAATTTATGAGTAGGTGATTAAGGTTTATAGTCTAGTAGTACTTTTTCATCTTTTAAAACAGAAGAGCTGAGTGTTTAAATTTTCATTGAAACAAAATCAGTATATGAATGTATTTTTTTTCAAGGTATATATATATATATATATATATATATATATATGGCACAACCAATTTACACCCGCCAACTCTTATTATTCCTAAGAACTTGAATTCTCAAAATTGAACTCAATGCATGAGGGACTAATACAAATGGACTTGTTGAGCCTCACTTGGCTTATCAGGGATGAAAAAACCGTTAAAATTGGTAAATCGGTATAAACCAATATTTCTCGACTTCTTTTGAATAGTAGGCACAAATGCGTGAAATAATTCTGTTCGAGATCCTTGGAACCAAAACCGAATCATAAATTAAATATATAAAATAAGATTACACAGTCTATGGTCTTTATTTTGGGAGAGACCATTTTAATAATCTCATTATGAAAAATTGTATGCATTCAAAATAACATCTAATATTAGCTAGCATACTCAATAGTTTTCATTCAAATTTATATATTCTAAAAATTTTTCTATCATTTAATGTTATTTTCTAATATTAGTTTTAATGTACTACTGATGGCTTACAGACGAAATTTAATAGTGTTTTATTACATTATTTTTTTTTGAGGAAGTTCTTAAAGATCCAAAACCACATGGTTAAGTACTTTTGTAAGGTTGGAATCTGATTTATTCTACAACTGTATCAAACCGTGTCAATTCTATCTTCTTCAAAAAAATTATGAACATCAAAAGCTTATATCATGTGGTCTCGAGTCAATATAAACACTTTAGATCGAGACTTAGAGAATAATTATTTGTGAAATTAATTAATTTTACGAGCCAATTATATGTGATCACTTGACTCGGTCACAACCTGAATTTCAATGCCCATAAAGACCCTCAAAGTGAGATGAAAAAAATAAAAACAAAAATATCACAAATGGCATGCACGAACCTATACTACAAAATATTAATTCTTATATAGAGACTGACACGCATTTACTTTTATGAGTGTTATCAAATTGGCCTTTCCATATATTGTTAACTATATAATATTATCATGTGTTCCTTTTCATAGAGTGACATGCATCTGGTTTTATACGCGTTTTCTAATATAACTTTAGTCATTTTTAGAAAAATTAAGTGGAATAAATTAAGATAAGGAAATTTCTTTGGAATTATACAATTAACTTTATAATGGCCAATTAATGCTAGCGTGGGTTTTGACCTAGTCTATAGGCAAACCAGTCTCATTTAAATCAATAAAATTCTTTTAATTATCACAAGGGCACTCTAAGAATTAGTTATTTCGGGAGTTAAGTGCAAAAAAGATTCTTGACTTATGAAATTTGTGCAAAAATAGTTCTTATGTTTTTTAAAATGTGTATTTCAGTTTATAAAATTTTAAAAATGTGTAAATAAGACACTTTTTCTTTTTTATAATCAAAATTGACATAAAATAAATTTAAAAACCTTAATTTGCCTTTTTATTTCATCAAAGTCACATCACAAATCCAAATTTATTAATTTGACTCAGTGTGTCATCAAAGCCACATCACAAACCCAAATTTTTGACTCAAATTTATTTAGGCTCGTATCGAATCCAGCTTTTGGCTATTCAAACTCGAAAATCAAATTCAAACTCTGTTTATTACTCAAATTTGATTTCACCTCCGTTTGTCAAATTTCGAACTTCAATTTGAGGTCATACTGAAGGAGTCGGCGAGTATAATTGTAGAAAAGAGAAGCATCATATTAGCTTGCAAACTTTTTTACACTGTACATACAATCCTCTCTCTCTCTCTCTCTCTCTCTCTCAATTATCAAAATTGGGTTTCTCTCTCTACAGATATAGATTGCACTGGTAATCAAATGTTTTGTCATTGCAGCTGAACCCAATATTGTTATCTTTGGTGAGATTGAGTAGGGTCTTTAATACATCATTGCCCAATACTGAGGAACGTAATCTTTGGTTGATAATTCATTCAAAATATATCTAGCTACTTTTCAAAATAAGTAAAGGAAAACGTTGTCGCCGAAAACGTTGTGAGGCGATCAGTTTAAGTATAGGAAAATAGTATGCAATATTAGGCTTCCCAACACGTTCCATCACACCCCACACAATGTCATTGACCACCGTCCCACAACAACACCGGCAACACCAACTCCACCCGCACAACGGCGGCACCATCACCACCATCCCACACCGTCCCAGCGGTAGAGAGAGAATGTGGATTAGGGTTTTTTTTTTTTTTTTTAAATTACATTAATGTATGTCATTTTTATACGGTGTCATCCTCTAATAGATTATATATGTCTAAAAAGATTGAAAACAAATAGGGTATTGACTAAAAAGAGTTTATGGAGTTTTTGGTGTTTAGTTTAGTCTTATCCCAGAATTAAATTGTTTGTTGTTTGGCATAGACAAAATGGAATTTGTTTTATTCTTTTCCCAAACAATAATTCCTTTGGCAATTGGGCAAAACAGTCATTTTACATGGTCGGTATTTTTAGCTATTAATTTATTCTATTGACATGAGGGCATTACAGTCATTTTAAGTTTCAAGGAGCTTATTTGCACCAAATCAATAATATAGGGGGGTTTTAAATTACACAGGAACCTTTTTGCACTATATCGATATTACGGAGGGTTTTTTTGCGCTTAACCCTTATTTAGGCCATCTGCAGTGGCATTGTCAATGGGCATTTTTGGCAAGAAAGGGAGAGTTTGGTTATGCACTGGCATTGTGGTATGGTGGGGTCCATTCTTGCGATCGTTAAAGGCTTTGTGGTATTCAACGAGGGGCAACAACCAATGCCTTTTCTTCTATTTTTTATTTTTATTTTAAGTCATGTACAATTGTTTGATTCAAATTCCTATGCAACACATTTGTCGGGTTCATTCCTTTTTCTTTTCTACAAAAATAATTTTTTTCACTTTTTTTTTTTTAATTTTTTTTTTTATTTTGATTTAAATATGTCAATGTGCCGTTAATGCACTGTTTGGCTAACACA